GTTGCCTGCGCGACTCGGACTTCGAAAATGACTACTTCCGAAATTGAAAAATATCAATTAATCGTTTATAAAATCGGTGCTAATAAAATTGAAATCAGTGCTACATTGCTCAAGTCTCAAGTAAAAACTCAATTTAATGCAAAATTTAATGGTAGCACTCGCAAACTAACAAAAATCCGTTTAACAGATAAGTGGTGGAACGATAAATTTTAAGGCAGCAAACAGCAGATAGTAAAACGTTTATTGCCAACGCGTCTTGCTAAGTACATCGCAACATCGTCAAGGCTGATCTAAAAAATTTCTACTTCACTGCTCAGACCTCAAGCTAAGCTATCTTCAATCCCTCCTCACGTTTTAAGCCATTAACACAGTAATAAAATTTTGCTTGATTTAGAAGACATACAAAAGCATAAAATGAGTTTAGTCCTGCCGCTGCAAAAAGGCGGCCGGATTAACGTTATTATTATTATATTAACCCTACTGGTCACTATTACTATTTCGCAAGAGAGCGTTTTTAAAACTTTTTGAAACACTCAAATCGTGTTTATCTATCGGAATGAACAAATAAATTCTGTAATCGTTTAGTTTCAGCATCGACATGCATCCAGCGTTCAAAGAGGATAGGGCAGGTTTAAAACATGCCAAACTCCATTCTAACTTTGTTTCGTTGACTGACTCCAATCGGTAAGCAATAGGTTTTCACAGCTAGTTAAAAACTTCACCCGATTGAAAATTATCTTCTACTAGTAAAATAATTAAATTTCAAAAATTAACGTATTAGCATATGTTAAGCATGGACAAAATTTCCGCAGCATCAAGCCTGAAACGCACAGATATAACAAACGAGTGATCGTACCTACCAAATTTGTTTCGCCACATAAATACCAAAGGACGATTTACTTCAGAAATAAATAAGCCATTTGTGTTTCACCAAAATGGCAACTCGAAAGACCAACAAATATTATTGATACAGCGGGACACAAGGCACCAATGCCCTGAGTGCCTGTACAACCCACCTCACAGATTAATAAACAGAACAATGTACATGTGGTATTCAACAGACATAAAGCTAACAGCCTTATTGCGAGTAAAAGATTTTAAACTTTAGGAAGAAGTTTTGGAGAGCGCTGTTCACCTTTTGCCCATGTGACTAGCTGCACCTTGCAACTGCTTCATGACGTGCTGCAAGCCTGACATACCCCCTGAAATATGTGCCGAAAAAATGAAGTCTATGAGAGGTTGTCTGAATGTCGTTCTTACCCATCTGCTGTAGAATTCGAGGGTCCATCAATTTAGCCATCTGCTGGTTCAATTTCGCCATTTGAGCGGGGTTGACACTCTTCGAAGAAAAGTCACCTCCTTTAAATAACCCTTTGATGCTGCCCATTTTCTTGACCATTTCAGCGAATTTCTTATACTGTTGCAGTAGTTCCTTAACTTCACCAATCGAGGTTCCAGAACCGTGAGCAACACGGGCGATCCTTCCCGGCTGTCTCTGAAAAAGGTCGTGGGCTTTCAAGCTGTCCAGCTCTGAAAAAAGTACAAATTTAAAACTTTCAGATGCCTCTAAATACATGAAACTTAATATAAATTCCAGTATATGTAGTTTTGATATCCGTAAGGCATACTGCAAAAAAATGAAAATTAATTTATAATATAACTTTACAATATGGATATATCTAAAGTAAATAAAATATTTACAGTGTGCAATCAGTCACTCAATTTCGATAACTGTTTATTCTTTCTGTTAGCACAAGCAGGCGTGTCAGTCAGTGTCTCTAACACTGTTGAGCCTGTGCCAACGTTTCTTCTTTAGCAAATGA